AGAGAGAGAGAGAGAGAAGAAAGATGCGTGGAAAGATCGAAAGAGTAACGACGGTAAGGTAGAGAGAACACAGAACACGAGTTACTTCGCGAAATGGTGAACCCGCTTCTTCCAGCGGAGTAGTCGTTGTCTACTAACCTCCCCTCCCCTCCTCTCCCCCCCTGCCCGCCACGCTCCCTCCTCCCCTCCGACACTTGTGCCTCTCTTTCTTTATCGCATGTGTGAAGGCACGGGAGCGGGTCTAGTGGGGAGAGTTTGGAAGGCGGGGAGGAGAAGGGGGGGAAGGATCGAGGAGCGAGAGAGGGAGATATAGAGGGCGGAATGTAGCTCGTGTGAGACGAGGCGAAGAGGGGGGAGGGGAGATGTTTGTCGGAGAACGAAAACGCACATGTGTCGCGTATATATAAGTAAGTGCACTCCGGTTGCGATGCTACGACGTGAACGAATAATCCGGATGCATCTGGAGGGGCGGGTGGGGGGCCTCGAGGGGGAGCGAAGTCAATGAACGAGTTCAACACAATCGCCACGCGGCGAGAGAATTTCACGGTTGCGGGCTTCTCTCTCTCTCTTTCTCTCTTTCTCGCTCGCTCCTTCTTCTTACGCGACTACCTGACGTTTTTCTTCCTTCCACCCTTTCCCTTTTCGCTTTAAATTTTTTGTCGCTCCTCTTTTATCTTCGAGATATTACTCGAGTTGAGAATCGCGTTTAAGATGATTTAAGACGAGTTATTCGTTTTCTTTTTTTTTTCTTTCTTTTTTTTTAACGATTTAAAAAAGAATACATCCAGGTAAGGAATAATTTTTCGTTTTTACTGTAAGTTTTCCAGTGAATGCGATAAATATAGAGCGATTAAGAGAATAATTACGATGTTCTGTTGATACGTCGATTCGGACTTGGAGAAATCCTTTGACAAATCGTTTCACGACCAGTTTTATCTCGGCTCGCGTGCATTCGGACAAAATGGAAGAAGAGAGAAGGAAACGAGGATAGAATATTTTTCTGTAATTGCAGGGGGACTTGCGGCGAGCATGCACGATAATATCGTATAACGTTAACACTGGCGGCGTTGTATCAACAGGAGGATCGCGAGTTGGCGAGAAACAGGAGGAGCTCGTTACCGAATGAACTCGGTCGAAATTTCAGAATTAAATTTAAATCTCATTCAACTTTACCGTTCACAGCGGCGAGTCGCGGATGTTGCAACACCGGGCATACGCCGAAAATACGCTTCTCTCGCCCACTCGGCCACGAAAACCGTTAATGCCGGCTTTTCGCGGGCATACGAGTTCAGAAATTATCTGGAACCGTGTTTAGGATCACTGAATAATTTATCCGCCCGCGGTATCGACCCATCGTCCGGGGCTAACTTTTAATTGCGTTCCCCCGAAACGATCCCCCTCTCTCTTTCCAAATTGAATCCATCCCGCTGCTAATGAACCGGCCAAACACCGGTTTATTTCTAAAAATTTCATTCCTCGAATGAAATTACGAGATTCGTAAACACGTTGCTCGAACAAATGGTTGCTCGCGGGCCAACGATTACAACGAAACGTTCGAGATATATATCTTTATGCGATAAACGTATCCATTTGAAAATTGAAAGGAAAGATTCCCTCGGAATATTTACAGGTCGACAAGTTGGACGAAATTAATCATTGTTTCTCCCATTAACGCTTCTCGCTAATTACTTTCCACGAATCGTTCTGCTCTACCTTGTACAACACCGGGATAAGAAAAGGGCGAATGTGAGAAACATTCGTATATACACGTGCATCGTCCCCGAGACAATGGGCCACTCTTCTTCTTCGTCTTCGTGCAACTCGAGGAAATTCTCGACGATCTTCTTTTTCCCTTTCTCTCTCGGGCTAGTTCCTCGGTTGTTGCCTCGACCAAGAACACGCGAGAATATCCGATGGCGACGCGGAAAAGTGTGCGGCTCGGTTGCGGTGACCGCGGAGAAAAATGTAGGCCGCGGAAACGATACCTGGTCGGCGAGGGATCGTCGCGAAATTCGCAGATCGACCAATGCTCGGTCAGCCCCGAGGTAGATACGAAACGTGACTCGTTGCTATGCATCGAACGAGCGCTTTTACGTCGTCTTTCCATCGATTGGCTGCGAACTCGAAACTGGTCTTTTTTTTCTTTTTTTACCGGTCGAACGTGCGACTGGTAAAGTAATCGACACTGCGATGCAAACGTTTCTTCGACTTCTTCGAACTTCAAGTTCGAATATGCCTCCGCGAGGAAGAAAAATGATATAAGCAGACATGATCGCCTAACCCGTATCCGCTTCCCTTCGATCGATCAAACAACCGATGAACGGAGCGTCGAGTAAACCGATCGATAACACAAATTCTTTCCCAACCACACTCGAAGGAAGCTACTTTAAGAAGCTTTTTAAAATTATTTTAACCATCCACGTATGATTCCACGACATATGTCCAATCCTCGTGACTCGAAACTCGGCGGAAACAAATTATCGTTTTAACAGAAACGGGAGGATGATCCGTATAGGAAGATACTGCATATACCGAATTCTTCGAACGGTTTTTGCACGGAACGAAGAAACTGAGAAACTCAGAAACGAAGAAAAGTGGGAACGAGGAGAGAGAAAGAGAGAGAGAGATAGAGGCGAAATTGAGGAGAAACGTACTTCTTGAGTGCACAGCTCCACCGCGAGTTCCCGTGCTCCAGGCGAAGCTGACCGATTCCTGGATCCGTCCCGATACCGGCGTGCACAGCGGTTCGTGCACGTTCACACGTTCGCACAGTGTTACACGCGTAACGGTTCGCACGATGCGTGACATGCGTGTGCCGCGCGTATGACGTGGCGTGTGTGCGGAAGTATATTGATCAGCTGATGGTCGGGTGGATACTGGGCTGCCTCGCAGAATTCACCATATTGTTGCGTCAGCGCGCATGCGCCGAGCCCTCGCTTTCGTCCCTTCGTCGCGTTTCACCCTTTTCGTGTGTGCGCCCTCCCCCCTCCATCGAGAGGGAACCCTTGCCAGACCGTGATGGCACGCCGCGTTTCTTCGCCTTTCTTCTCCGTTTCAATGGAAAAATCTCGGGGGAGGAAAAAGGGAAAAAGGACACGTTGATAGGGTCAACGGGCTGCCCCGTAACGGGGATAAATTTGCGATCCAGAGACCGTGCGCTGCCCGACAGGGAAAGTGTTAACCTCTGAAGCGAGGTTGGAGGAAATTCACGTGTTCGAGGAGTTATTAATTTTACGATTACCAGCGAGAATAAAAGTAACGAGAATTATTACTTGTTCTCGAGAGTTGTTGTTCGATCGAGTATTTTTGATTTTTCCAGATCGATCCCAGATATTTCGTAGAAAACGGTCGATTCGAAATATTGCGCGATTCGAAATATCGGTCAGTCAAAGGATCGGGAAAGAACAACTTTGAAAACTTTCGATGGATTTTTCGAACGATTGCCAAGTCGAAGGAAGCCGATGTTCTTAAGTTTTTTTTTTTTTTCAACGATGTTTTAATAATTTTGTCGAGCTGTACATAAGCTAAAGATCTTAAGATTTTAAAGATGTTTTGAAAAAAGACATCAACGATAAATTTTTCGCCGATTTAACTAAAAACTAGCAAATGTGAAATTTGAATGTATATGGAATTTATCGGAGAAAGGCGCGAGTATTGTGCGTGTCATATCTATGACGCTTTCTAAATCCGCGAAAGCTTAAGTGCTAGCTATATTTGTGCCGCTTAGAAAATCATGTTCTTACGATGCAATAAAAGTTTTTTAGACGCTCGTCTCTAATGACTCATAATAACTTATCCGAGAAAAACGAAGATTTTTTTTTTTTCTCTAAAAAGAATAGAAAATACTCGATTTCCTTTGGTAATTTTCTCCGAGAAAATTTGGCGAGCCGATTCGAGTTTCGATTTTTTTCAGCGGGAAAATGTCGTCGAATCAGGCCAAGTGATAATCTTCGGATAGAGCAGCGACAAAAAACAAACTTTTCATTTCGTTACACGGTATTCTTGGATATTATTACAAAACTAGTTTCACCTCGAGCGAAACGAATCGCGTTATGCATTTGCTTACTTTTTCTTCCAGCTACTAATTTTTCATCATTTCAAATATATGCTCGATGTTTTTAATCAGTCGCCAAGGAAAGGAATATCTACGTGCAATTCGAATATTAACTCTATTTGGTCCCTGGAGTTACGTTGGATTGTTGGACGTTGACGAGAACCGAATATTTTCATCGCAAATTTTGGCAATTTTTCAAGAAACCACCGTTCCTTTCCATTCTGACTTTGTAATATATTTTCCACGATAATCGATACAACGCGAATTGAATTTTAAATTTAAAATCAAGGGAAAACCACTGAATATTTCTTACTTTTGCTTTCTCCCTCGAAAAATAGTCGCTGGATGGATGAAGGCGAGGTGAATTTCGAGTTGGCCAGATTTTCGCGATGAATTCGCACAATTTTGTCAGGGTTTTTGCGAATCAACCGCACCTCGGCTTCATCCGTTTCGCAAAGAATTTCCGCAGACGAGATTCGATAAGGGAATTATTTACTTGGGCTGGCAACCGAAAGGTTAACAAGATAATTCTATCCTGTGAAGCCAGTGGAACTTGGAAGCGACGCGAGTTCGTAACCTACTTTCGGCATAACTTCGCGTTTCTATTTAACTCGGCCGATATTGTTCCGATATTGTTCGACCGATAATCATTGCACGAAACGAATAAGAACAGCATGGTATGGATGATAATTCGGGCGAAGATCATTCCGTACTCGAAGAAATTTCTTCTCTAATTTAGAGAAACTTTAAAACTGCGATTGGAAATTGCTGCCATAAAAATTTTTATGCCGTGAAATTTTAGAAATTTCTAAATTTTAACACCGTAATAGAGAAGAATGAAAGAAACAATGGAGTGGCCAATTGTGAAAAACTTCGAAATAACGTTAATTGGGAAATAAAAGTTACGCGTCCAAAAATAGGAAACTTAGGAAATTTTTCTTTCGCGTTTCAAGAAAAGAAAAAGATGATCACCGTTCACGGTGAAATCTCGAAATATCACGGTAATACTCCAAAGTCAAATATTCAACGTGGATGGAGAAGAAAGCGTGTCTACGTTCAATGATCCTCGAAAAGAAAGAAAGGAGGAAAAAAAAAAAAGAAAAAAAAAAGAAAGGAAAAAAGAAGAAAAGGATTGTCGGTCCCTGCATTGGAAGAGAGTCTCATTTGTCGGAAAATATTCGGCGAACGAACTTGTGACACAAATCCACGATCAAAGAGCCTCGTTAACGACAAACGTACGTGCGCCAACACCGGCCCCGCTCAATATTCCGAGCTCGAGGATCGGAATTGTGTTAACCATCCTTTCTGTTTTCCTTTCACATTCAAATTACTCTGGCCAAGCTTCGTTACCTGAATCATTTCATCGTCTCGTCCTACTCGTATATACCAGGTGAATAATAGTCGCCGATCGTCCCTGGAAAAGAAGCAACGAACCTACGGAACAACGCGATTTCCTAAAGTTTCCTTAAAGTTTCTCTCCCTTTCTGTCTACAAGTATCCACGAAGCAAACAAAGCTTTTACCGTGCTTTTCCAACCTTCGTTCGTGGAGAACGAAGTGAGGCGAGGCGAGCCGTGAACGAACGTTGCGAGGGATGATTCGGATCAAATTTCGATCAGACTTGTATATTTTTATTAAAAAAAAACCATGATTTTAACTTCACGTACGTAATAACATAATTGTTGTTCAATTTCAAGGAGAAGAGCATGCAGAACACGAAGATCTAAAAATCTTCTATAGATTCGGAATATTTTGAAATTATTCGAATAACCGGTCGAATGAAAAAGAAAAGAAAAAAATCGGTGAGAATTGTAAAAATACGTGTGTAAAAAGCGGGAAAGCTTTTCGTGGGAATCAAAGGGCTTTACGGAATGGAGAACGCGGCTAGTTCTCTATCATTTCGTTGAGACGCGCGTGGAATAGCGGATCGTTAGAAGGTTCGGAGGCAAAAAAAAAAAAAAAGACACGGCGAGGCGAACGAAACAAACTCGTAAAACAAGCGGCGAAAAAGGAGCCGGTTGTTATTTTATGGTCGAAACCCGCGCCAGGATTCACAGTCACGCATCGTGATTCGCCTCTTGATTCACGGGGAAAGAACGGAAAGCATTGTTTCACTCTCGCGCCGAAACTGGTTCGCCCCGTTTCGCGTTACCACGAATTCGAGATCGCAATGCGACACGCGCCCCCCCTTTTCGAATTCCTCGATTCCCGTATTTCCCCTCCCCGACTACAATAATCTCCGTCTATTAACCATTTCATCATCGTGAGAATAAAACATGGCACAAATGATTTTTCATACGAGAGAAGAAATTTCTCTCCGCGGAGATAATTTCGAATCGATCGAAATGAAGGCATCGAAGAGGGCAACGTCGCGATCTTTTCTTTTCGGGCGATGAAAAAATTGGGCGGCAATTGTCGGAAAGGAACGGCCGCTTTCCTCCATCGGGCGGATTTTTTCGCAACCTGGATCTTGGCGCGCGTTTCCGCGCTTTTCCTTCCCGGTTTCCACGCCGAGAGCCGCTCGTTTCGAAACGCTCGTTTGCCGATCACGTAAAGATAACGTGTCCGTTAGTCAAGCCTTGCAACCTGCATTCGAATGAACGGAAAAATGAGAGCCACCGCCACGAGATAACGTTCTTCCTCTTTCACGCGCAATATCGTATTCTCACGAGCAGGCAACCGACCAATGAATGGAATGGTTAGAAAGTTCATTTGCAACTTGTGCATTTTTTAACGCGTCTAACAGGCGGCCGTGATTCCTATCCACGCCAAGATTATCCTTCGCTCTTTGTTCCCCGCGATCGAGGGATCGTGACGAACCAAACGGTTGGCCTTCTTTTTTTTTTTTTTTTTTTTATTCTTAATCGAGATGCTGATATCATTTGATGACCAGGCGATGCGGATGAATTGGATAACTCGTGGAAAAAATGTTTGTTTTCGAAAATAACGCGATGTGAAAAATTTGTAAAAAGTCGCGAGTAAATGTTCTTTCGAATTTTTCAATCGGAAGAAATTGAAACGTTCGCATTTGTGATAGATAGATTTCGAATAATTCTACATATTATATAAAAAAAAAAATCTATACATAATTGCGCATCGCGACTAGATTATAAATACGTACAGAAGCAAGCGATAATAACGAGAAGATAAAACGAGAAGCGATTGAAAGATATAATTATAGGCGAGGAAAAAAATTTTATTTCATTATTCGTTGTATTATTCCTTTATATTCGATTATTTCATTATGGGTCAAGGTTCCAAGCGGGATAATAATAATTCTTCGATCGCTTTTATCATTTTCCGACCGAATCTCGTTCACCTCGTATTTTCCATAAAATGTTACAAAAACTTGCGAGCGCAAGGATGAGTGGAAGTGAGGATGGAAAGAGTTGAAAACCTCTGCCTCTTTGGAAACAATGGAGACGTTAATCGTTCTTATCGGGGGATCACCATAAATGAGGAAGAGTGCGAAACCGGCACGTAATTAACAATTAAAGAGATACGTGTCTCTCTGGCATCGTTGCAACTGGCACTCGTTTGCAATCTTGGGAGAACCCAAGAGAGAGGACGGGAGGGGAGGGGAGGGGAGGGGGGAGAGGAGGGACAAGTCTTTCGCGTATCGTTTCAAGAGCGAATTTAATTAACGATCGCGCAGGCAAATTGCCGAGGTCCTCGTTTTTCAATTACACGCGATTCCTCGTAATTCAATTTATCTTTCGACGGACGGGACGAGAAGAAAGAGAAGAACTTCCCCTTTAATACGAATTCGTTAATTAAGATTTCTCACTCTTTACACCACTA